CCAGGGAGGGTTTACATCATAGCTGGCTTCCCAGCTGGCGCTAGTGGTAAAGAACTCGCCTGCCAATACAGGAGACATAAGAGACGTGGGTTCGATCCCTGGGCTAGGAACAACCCATGGAGGAGGGCATGGCAACCCACTCCAGTATTCTTGCCTGGAGAATCCCATGAACAGAGGAGCCTGACAGGCTACAGTCCATAAGTCTGCACAGAGTCAGTCACGACTGAAGTGACTTAGCACGCATGACCCTTCCTAGGGATGAGTAAAAATGAAGTGCTTAAAATAACCTCTTCAAACATACACAGATCTGAGTCCAGTGTGGGAAGAAGTCTGGGACAGATACAGTCAGCAGCATCCTAGAAGGTAAGGAAAGGAGAGAAGATAGAAAAGATAAAGTGCACGAGGCCAGAAATGTCACCTTGCCAGCCATGGCACTCCCTTCCGAACTATGAAAGAGGAAATGCAGTTATATGTGTGTAAAGGATCTCTACCCGTCTGTGTAACAGGAATAGCAAGCCTGCATCCTAAACAATCCTGGGATTATGCAGTATTATGATATCTACCTGCTACTTAGAATACTCAGTATATACCTATACGGGGTTTACCAGGTGGCGCTAGTGGTAAAAACAAACAAACAAACAAAAAAAACCCTGCCAATGGAGGAGACCTAAGAGATGCGAGTTCGATCCCTGGGTCGGGAAGATCCCCTGGAGAAGGGCATGGCAACCCACTCCAGTATTCTTGCCTGGAGAATCCCATGGACGGAGGAGCCTGGCAGGCTACAGTCCAGGGGGTCACAAAGAGTCGGACACAACTGAAGTGACTTAGCACACACACACGCACCTACATATCAGTAGCTATTATCACATTTCTGTGTCATTTAGGATGCTTTAAGTACACACAAAATCATACTGTACATGGCTACCACCCTGGGTTCCTGCTCGAACACAACTAGAGAATCTCCAAATGCTTCAGGTCCAAGCAAGCTATGAGTCTTCTCTTCGGTGCACCTGAATTTGATACAAAACAGACTCTAAGAAGAAACCTTCTGGCTCCAAGTCCACCAAAGACAGAAATGCAGGCTCAGGGAGAACTGTCTCGGTGGTCGGTGAAAAGGCAGGACTATCATTACCTCCTCCAGCTAAGCCCCTGCTTTGACGGCTGACATTTCTGGGTGCATGCGCCCATCTGTTCCTGTAGCTACTAACGGTAACAATCAGTAACAACTGGGTTGTGGTTTGGTTCATAACATATAACATTTTGTATCTGTTCACTTAACAAGTAACACTTTGTGTATATTCATGTTAAACTTGTATTAAGAAACTTAAAAGCCAGTCATTTAAAAAAAAACTAATAGAAATGTTAACATTCTGAAAGAGGGGGGTAAAAAAAGAACATACACTTGAAATCCCCAAAACTCAGATTCAAAACCCTGAACCACCTTTCCTCATAATGGTTCATTTCAGAAACTACTGAGATGCAACGTTAACACTAACATTGGATTTGTTCTACATTAAATAGGAACTATAAATAAATACTTGAGGTAAATTAGGGCAAACAGTTGTGAATATGAGACTTAGCTAAATAAACGTAAATTTACCTTGAAAATCAAAACATTGCATTTTGATGTTTCCTACAGATTTTTTTCTATTTTACACAAGGAAATAATAATTTCTCTACTCTTCAGAAATAGCAACACATCAAAATACAAAATGCTTCACCTCACTATCTTATAGTCACATCTTACCTATGTTAACCAAAATTACTGTAAGTATTACGTAGTGTAAGAAGTGCACAAGAAATGAGCATCCAAACCCTGACTTGGCCACTATGTATAATCCTAAACAAATCACTTGACCTCTATGAGCCTCAGTGTTCATGGCCTGTGTTTTAGAAGAACAATAAAAAATAGCTGTCTTGCAAAGTTATTAAGAGGATTAAAATGCATGCTACATATTGTGTGCTTGACAAAACGCTCTGCCAATAGCCAAGACTCAACAACTGCTCATTCGCATCCTCTCTGCTGCTCCTTTCTTTTCCCCACCCTAGTTCTTGACTGTCTTCAAGAATTAAATCCACCTACAAAGGATAAAGATGTCAAGCTAAAGAAGACAGCCAAAATAATGTGTGCCAACTGCCCACTCTACCGCCTGGGGTTTCTAAATTAATAGGCTAGACTCAAGGATGTTATATTTGCATGTTAAGGCCAAATAATACTTTAAACTACAGAATTTTTTAAAGAACAAGGTGACCTTTCCAAGAAAAAAAAAAAGTAATTAAAAGCCTAAGCTCATGGAGACTGGCAATTAAACTTATATTAGGAGTGGTGACTCTAAAGTAACATGACCAATTTATTATCAAGCATATGAGGACCTTGTATATACAATCAAATGGTGTCACTTAGCAAACAGTCACTTTAGTTAACTACTTAATGTTCTAATGATGCCGCCTGAACCCAAAGTGCTTTGGGGACAACTCTTAATTGGTACATATTCCAAAACATCAGTCTCCCATGATTTTTACTGCTTATTTTACTTTTACCAACAACATGGTAATGGTATACCTGCTACTTATAAGTACCAGATATTTGAGAAAGTACAACATTAACATCATGGTGTACAGTTCAGGCCAATTTCTTTGAATTCTGACCTAATCAGCCCAAAGGATTTCACAGATTGGCAGATTTCATAGACTGGGTAAAATGGCTTCTGATAAGGAAATGACACTCGGTGACGGCTGAACTGAATGAATCTTCAAGGTAAAGACAGGGAGGGATCTCTACATATACCTGATTTCTGATACCATCATTTCTGATCCTAGATTTCTAAGGGCAGCACTCCTTTTCAAAATGTGATAACAGGAAGAGAGAAATTCTAAGAGTGTTGAAACACACAATCTTATCTACAAAAAAAAGAAGTGCTAACATTACCAAATTCTCTCAATGTAGTTTCTTAGCAATCAGAGGAAAATTTAGAAGATAACCACATCTCTTCCCAATCTACCTATGTTTTGCTCCAACCCAGTAAAGAAACTTTCTCTTCTAAAGGATCAAAAATCTCCCACAAAGGGTGAGGGGGATCACAAAGGCCCCAGAGTAGACTCAAAGACATAAAGCAGTATTCTCTGAAGATCTTCAAAATATACCAAGTTGACCAAAGTTTGACAGACACAGTGTAATTACAGGCAATGGTGCTTCTTATGATTTAGCCAAACAAGTCTGCTCTAAGAAAGTCCTTGTTACTCAGGACAGCCAACTCCATCCTGTAGGCATTATTTAGTCTAACTGCCAACACCACCCTGTAGAGAACCTTTCCATAAACTGCCTGCAACCAAGAGAACCATTTGACCAACACCATTCCTAAGTTACAGAAGAAAACAATCTTGAGCCAGGAATATTCACACAACACCCATGCACCCATGGATGGAGGGCAAAAACCCAGGAATCATGGATCAATCACATTCCTTCTACTCATGAGTGTAAATGAGACAAGAAAACCATTTCCCAAATCAGCCTCACATAAGCCTAGGCTCATTGGCAGAAACAGTTCTCCATCATATTGATATTTGTACATTACAGTCCCTCCTTAGGAGCTGTCATAATTCTTCTTCTGAGCAGCCAAATTCCACAGGTTAACTTGCATCAGTTTATAGTGCTGTCAGGAGGCACCTACCTTCAGAACCACAGAGAAACATTCCGTGTGGATCTAAATCAAAGTGATGTGCTGAGAGGTACCGAAAAGGATGGTGGTTGTTGAACCCCAGGTGCATTTAAGAACAGAAAAATCCTCTCGCAAAATCGCTTCAGGAAAGTTACAATAGAAAGAAACTAAAGGGAGGTATAAAATGGTTCTAACTCTGATAAGGTAGGATTCAGTATGACAGGCCAGTTTATTTTAAGTAATTTTCAACCTTTACTTAGGATCATCAAGATCTGGCTCACAGATCTCCCTCCTTTGTCAACAAGGATTTCATGTCACAGGTACAGCTTTCCTGATTAAATGACTCCATTTTCACAACAACCATAGCAATTCTCTGCACATAAAAAAGAAAACCACAGACCTGCTAGTGCTTCCAGGTATATAACTAAAATGACCAGGTGAGACTCAATCTTACTTCTGTGGGATTTTTTTTTTCCAACTCTTTTGAGTGTCAAGGTTACAATTCTCAACAACCCTTACATGGGCCCTTAAAAGCTAAAGAATTTCTGCAGCAATTATCTTTGGATGAGAAAGCCATCAGTTTCTTATTATGCTTCTCAAATGACAGTTTCTAGCCATATTGTTTAGCACATGAGTGTTAAAGTCCCTTACGAAAGACTCCTGTAGTTTATATTCAAGCTCTCAGGTTCATGACTCAGCAGCTTCCTTTATAGTGGGACAGACAGACTAAAAGAGAATGTGTCTTACAAAACAAAGTAGCTGTTCCCTTTCTCATGCTATGCTTATGATTCTGGTGAAGCATTTAAAAAGTTCTACCTGATTTTTAATTCTGCTATGGCTTAAAAAGCTATGAACAGTACTTTAGGGAAAGTTTAGCTTCCTCTTTTCAAAAAACCTATTTGCTTTAGTCTCTGAAAGCAAAAGTAACATGCTGCACTTATATTTTCCAATCAAATTGCATAGTTGAGGCAAATTCATTTGTGCTTTGTAGCAGAACTCACAGTAGTTGTTCATATCTAAAAACCTTGATTTGTAAATGCAAAGTCACGGTCAAGCTCACCCTTGTTCGGAGTGTATGCTAATGATATGCACTGCCATTACACTTCCCAAGATTTTGTTAACCACGCACCCAGCCTTCTACCATATCAGAGCATGAGCGTCAAATTAACATCTCAGAAATGGTAACAAATCTATCTAAACTCCTCCTTGGAGAGAAGGAGGAAAGGCTCATTCTTGTTGAGGTATCCAGCCCTCAATCAACAGTGGCTGTGTATAGTGAGTTTTGTTGGTTTGAAGATTGTGTCTTTAGAGGTTAAAAAAAGAAAGAAAAGAAGGCACGGGTGTTTCTCAAGTCGCCATATTCAACTCAACCAACAAAACCAAAGTCTTTCATTTTCAAGCTTCAGGAGGGAGGCTACATGGGCGCAGGGCTTTCTTCCAGCCCCAGGTCTGGGGAGGAACTTATTGCTTCTGGGAATGGCCCTGGATAGGTCTGCGCTGTGTACTGGATCCCCTTTTGCAGAGCAGTCTCTTCATGGAATTCTCCCTGGGTGCTGAAAGCGGGACAAGATCGAGTCCGGGCAGCCTTCCTGGCGCTGTCGGGGTGGCCCACCGTCTCGCTCACGGTGCTCAGAGGGAACTCTCTCCACCTCTGCCTCTGAAGTTCTTCCTCCTTGTATTTAATGGAGTACCAGGCCAGAAAAATAAATATAAAGCCAACAAATTTGAGGCCGGCTGCTAAACCAAAATAGACGAAACGAAATGACGTGACATTGTACTCCCAGCAAGAGCCTTGCACTCCACACTCCTGTTGCCAAAGCATGCAGGTGGTGTCAATAACTGCTCCAAAGTAAATTGGAGTCGGAATGTATGCTAGAGCAGCAGGGGAAAGAAAAAGAAAAAGCGTTAGCACATCTTATAAGAGGAAACAGACTTGTAAATTAACAGGATACCTGTTTACTCTAACATCAGTTGAGAGGAGTGGTTTTTCTGTTACCTGTTTTTTTGTAAATATACATCACATCTTGTCATAATATTCTTATTATAGACATGTTCACTACTACTTTAAATCTTTCACTTCATGGCTCAGTCAGAATGTGCTTTGGCTTTTAGACATTTTATGATGTTTATTTTCAAGTATTACTTATTAGACATATTATGATATAGCATGTCTAAAAAGCAAGAACACATTTTTATGTCTGCTCAATATTAGGTAACAACCTAACTTAGAAAAGAATTTTAAAAAGAATAGATGCATGTATATTCATAACTGAATTACTTTGCTATATACCTGAAACTAACACAACTTTGTTAATCAACTATACTCCAATACAAAATAAAAAGCTAAAAAAAAAAAAAAGAATTTTACAAAAGATTTTTTTTAAGATTTTATTAAGTTAAAACAAGAGCAGTAATATATTTTTAGACATAAAAATTTCCATCAATACAAGTGTAATTAGGGAGGGGAGTTCCCTGCACGTCCAGTGGTTAGGACTCTGTGCATTCACTGTCATGGCCCTGGGTTCAGTTCCTGGCCCAGGAACTAAGATCTTGAAAGCCACGTGGCATGGCACCTTCCCCTCAAAAAAGTTAGATTAAAATCTGAAATTTTTTAAAAAAATAAGCCATTCAATTCAAGGTACTAGAAGCCTACGATGCCCACTGACAAGTCCTCACTCTTGGTCTGGGGCATCAACCACAACATTAGACAAAAAAGGAATAACAGAGAGGATTCCTGTTGCCAAGGGTCAGATGATTTTTAAATGTTTAAAATGTTTCACCCTTCAAAATTTAAATAAGCAATTTGAATTAAAAAAAAATTTTTTTTTTGTCCTGTGGATGATGATACTGATTACTGAGGAAAATAACAGCTGAAGAAAATGACAGACTGCCCCTTAAGAAAGCAAACAATATGCCTGACAATGAGGAAGTCACATAAAAACATACTGAAGTCAGTCAAGGTAACGGAGCACTTCACGCACTGCTCCCCATCACTGTCCCAAGATATCAAGGGTGATGCAATGTTTGTAGAAGTCAGAAGGATGTTCTTCAAGTCCAAATAAACTCTGACTTACCACATTGACACAGCGCTAACAAGCTTCTCTGTTAACAAGAAATCTTGTTGCTATTTAGTCGCTGTCATGTTTGACTCTTTGCAACCCCATGGACTGCAGCCCACCAGGCTTCTCTGTCCATGGAATTTTCCAGGCAAGAATACTGGAGTGGGTTGCCATTTCCTCCTCCAGGGGATCTTCCCGACCCAGGGATTGAACCTGTGTTTCCTGCACTGGCAGGCGGATTCTTTACCACTGAGCCACTAAGTAAAGCTTAGTCCCTATATATCAATTTGGACATCTTTTTATTCATTTAGAATTTTTTATTTCTTTTCCTCAGAAAATCTGATCAGCATACTCTTTACCAGTCCAGTACAATTACTAGAAAGAAGTAAGGAACTGAAATTTTTCGACACACATACACACAAAGTAAGCACTAATTCCCATCATTTTCATGTTACAAAGTCACAAAAGGGACAGAAACACCTGGACTGTAAGCCCACAACAGTTTCTTGGTTCAAGATTTCTTACTGTACAAAACTCTGGGGAATTTAGTCCAAGTGCATACTCAGAGTAAAAGAGAAACCGATCAAAAGTCAGTTTTGTTCTGTTTTATCAGCGACAGAGTTGGTCCGCTTTTGGTTCAAATCAGAAAATGAGGAAGTAGTGCCTGCCCACTAACGTGTGAACTCCTAGCTAGTACGAATGGTAACAAATGATCTGAGTTGAAATTTTTAAAGGACAGTGAAAATTTGGCATCTGCAAAGAGGAACTAAAAGGTACTGTGGGAAATTTAGGAACATACCAAGTGTTCTCAATAAAACAAACTGCATTCCCAGGGCAAAAGGCCTCTCTTCATCTTTTACAGACCTACAAAGAAGGGAAAGAAATATTTTAGAATAAGGGCCTCAAGAAAATGAATGTCAAGTCAAACCCGCTTAGCTGCAGGTCCAGGGACCACATAGATAATGGGCCAAAATGTTGAATTTGCTAGAAGTTACTAACAATAGTTGAACAAGATCGCTTATTGCTAAATCACTGAATAAAGGTCTCCCCAGTGAAGACTCCAAAGAACTCTGATTAACTCCACTTTTTGTGTAAATAACAGGTGGAAGGACAAAGGTTCAGGGCTGAAAGTACAGAAGCAGCTCTGAGTTTGCAAAATCAACTCTTAAAAAAAAAAATTGGTAATCCTAACTATTGCCTTCTTTTTCTGTTTGCCTGTACTTTCCAGAATGGCATGCTGAAATTTACTTCTACAATTTCTCAAGGAAAAACACAGAGAGAAAAGTTTTTTTCCTAACAGTCCCAAAATGTATCAGAAATAAATCAAAAGTTAGAAACAGAATGAATCCCTTCCCATCACCTCACTTTTTCTTCTTTTCCTAAAACTTAAGTTTCAAGTTAATTCCCACATGGCAGGATGATTAGAGTCTATTGATTTTGTATTAGCAAAGATTAAATGGCTCCTTTTCTGAAGTCTTGGGTTAGATGACAACTGATGATCTGCCGTGTTTAAACATTATTAAACAGGCACCTCTTTTCTGGTTATTTAACATCTCTTGTAGAATTAAAGTTCAAAGTAATAGGTTAGTAATGATTCCCATTTTTTTCATGATGAAGTACTTTCTAGTACTTTCTAGTCCATACACGTAGGGTTCTCAGTATGCAATGTGAAATTCTCGAGGACCAGTGTGCTTGCCATCTTTCCCCCTAGTTTCTTTATTTTCTCACAGCAATTTCCCCAGTGTGGTAAACACTGTTGTTACTCTGTAAGTATTTGCTGACTGAGGATCTGAGGATTGGTCCCAAACCAATGGGACCAGTGGGACTCCTGGGTGCCATTTGTTATCGTGCCGTCAAGGAGCCCATCAGCTGAGCAACATCCAACTCAGCATCCCATAAAAGGGAAGCCAGAATATGCAGAACTAGCAGGCAAGCAGCCCAACCTCCCTGCTAAGAAAGACATCTCAGCAGATGCATCCCACCCGAAGCCAGCATCCTGGGTTACCAAGAAGCCCAGGGAGGGCACAAAAGGGAGACTGAAGAGTGACACCCCTCCTTCCTCCATCACCCTGCATCCCAGTGCCCCTAAAGCTGCTGTGGTCATGCTTTCATACTGCCCACTCCCTTCCTTGGTCTGTGGCCATCTTTACTGCAAATACTAACACTCTGATTTAAATGTGCTGGTGTCAACATTTTAAATAGAGCCTCCATTAAGGTAATCTCCATGTTCTCTCTTAGAAGCAAAAAAAAAAAAAAAAAAAACCACACACACAAATGGGATATATAATACAGCAAAAAAAGCACAGCATGAACAACTTAAAATTACATTTCCTAGTCTGCCCTTTCCTTGATTCAATGCCAAAATGTTATATGATAGTGAAATTAATGAGATAAGCATTTGGAATTGCAAGCTCAGCAACAACGGTCACTGATCCTGGAGGTATTAACTACCTACAAGGTCAGAGATAATATTCTTAGCCGTAAGTACGATTTAGTGACTTCACCAAATGACTTGTCACCTCCTCTCAGGCCAGGCTTCTTGTAGCTAGTACAGTCATAGCTTTCAGCTCCTGAGCTTGAACCTTTCAGTAGAGACTTCAGGAACCAAAGGCATCCAAAAAGAGTTTCACTGAACTATGGGGATAAAATTCATCTAAATAAAACAAGTTCTGGAGTATGAAAATGTTGCTGGTGTTTAGTTGCTAAGTCATGACCGACTCTTTTGAGATTCCAGGTTTCACTGTTGCGGCCAGGGTTCAATCCCTGATCAGGGAACTGAGGTCCCACAAGTTGTGCAGCACAGCCCACAAAAAAGAAAAAAAGAGAAGAAAATATCTTTCTCATTTTAACAGTAAGGATTCAAAGAGTGCATCTAACAACATCAAAATCTGCTGCTGAAGGTTGTTTAAACTTTGATCAGAAGCCTTCAATACTCAGTTCTATACTACTCATCTTCTATAAGGGCTTCCCAGGTGGCGAGGTGGTAAGGAATCCACCTGCAAATGCAGAAGACTCAGGTTCAATCCCTGGGTTGGGAAGATCCCCTGGAGTAGGAAATGGCAACCCACTCTGGTATTCTTGCCTGGAAAATCCCAGGGACAGAGGAGCCTGGTGGGCTCCAGTCCATGGAGTCGCAATGAGTCACACAACATGTGCACAAGCACAACCATGTTCCATATCCTCATGTTGGGTCATAATCAGATGCTGCTTCAATGGATGTTCATTCTTAGGCTCTCCAAACAGTGAAGCCCCTCAAAAACAGGAACTAAGCCTTATTTTCATTTGTGCTCTCCAGAGTGCTTAGCAAAACCCTGAAACAGTGTAGGATCAAATGTATGTATCTGTTAAATAAATGCAGAGAATTCACAATGCAGCCGTAACGACTTCAGTAACAACACTAGTGAATGTATCACTGGCTATTTCATTTGAAACTAGCTAATACAAGGGACTCAAAAGATGTCTCAAACAAAACAACCAACTGACCTTTCTGCCTATTATGCTGCTTTTACTGAATGGACATCAGCTGAGCTCACTGTCATTGTGACCTCTCAGCCACCCAGAGAAGCAGGAGGCACAAATACAAAGATGGGGAGCTGCATGGCCGCCTGTGCTCCAAGGACTGTGGGCCTCTTTGTATGAATGAGGACCACGGACCAGAGGACTCAGTGGCTAAGTCCTTCCCTGGGGGCAAGTGAGTCCTCTGGTCTATGGCCCTCATTTGAAGAGCAGGTCTCATTGTCCCTTTCAATTCAGTCACACCCTGCAGCTCACCAGTTATATAATGAGGAGCCAGCAAGAGGAATCTCAATTCATCACCATAGTTTAAAACTCAGAGATCAAATATGACATCCCCAAGACACGCAGTCAACGGTATCATCCCATATCACCTACACAGAACAAACAAAGGCATCTTAACCTTTCAGTGAAAGCAGCTGCCTACAGTCTGTTATTATGCAAAGAATGGAACCAGGCTCAATAAAGAACGGCGTAGAATATGAAAACCTTCTCCCACAGTATCACTGCCTATTTATAATTCACAGGAAAGTGAATTCTCAAAATAGCCTATTCTTGAACTGACAGAAATAACTTTACTCTGAATGTTTAAAAAAAAATTCTGAATTGATAGTCTATGAAAAATGGCCACTGCCCATGTTCACAGGCTCTGAGCAGGGGAGGTGCTCTCCTGTTCTCTTCTAGCAGCACAGTGTGGTCATCTCGACCTTCACGTCCATCATCACAGGGGCCCTGCTGGGGTAGCAAAGGAGACATCCAGCACTCGACCTTCTCAAGTTTCACTGGGATGGCACAGGATGTCACTAGCAGGGAATGACGTGGAACCAGATCACTATGCTCAAAAACCCCAATTATCCCTGAAAATTAAATAATAGTAATTATTGCATAATTTCCTTTCCTCTGGGTTTCTGACAGAAGCACGTGTGCATTCATGCTCAGTTGCTTCAGTTGTGTCCAACTCTTTTCCACCCCATGGGCTGTGGCCCACCAGGCTCCTCTGTCCATGGGATTCTCCCGGCAAGAATACTGAGTGGGTTGCCGTGCCCTCCTCCAGGGGATCTTCCTGACTCAGGAATCAAACCTGTGCTTCCTGTGCCTCCTGCATTGCAGGAGGATTCTTTACCCACTGAGCCACCTGGAAAGCCCTTGACAGAAAATATCCGGTATCTTATCTGAAGTTTTTGGAAAAGGGAGACTGAAACCTTCTGTTTGCATACAAAATCTAACAACACTACAGGAGCTTGTGAAATATACTCACCCCGGTGCTCACATTCCCACTATTAACACAGCCAGCCAGACAAGGGTTAAAGTATGTAATTCCATCCGATCCACAGACTGGCTCATATTCATGTGTTTTACAACCACAATTAACATTGCAGCTTCCTGTCAGATTCCTATGCGGCATGGTCAGAGAGGGTCTAAGAGAGAGAAGCAGATCATGAGCCATTAATGTTTGCCAAAATAAAATTCACAGGACAGTTCTTGATGTTAAGTAAGGTGTCCATTTTACAGAATACATTCCCATGAAATCAAAGCCATGGTACTATGAAGTAGCACCCTAGATAATTATTTTTATGACTTTAAAACAGAACAGAAAGAAAACATTTTTCAATTTTCCCATACTACAGATTTAGTACATTTGTATCATATTATTTACCGTGCTTCAATTCCACCCTCCATCTTGGTAATCTGAGCTCAGAAGTTCTAACCTTCATAGAACTAAACTGCTCACTCACTGCAGACACTTGGCTCTATATCGTAACAAATGGAGGCCTAGATTTCTTTTACAGTTAAACTGTAAAATGGAAGAAATATTTTTTGTGCCAAATTAATAATATCTTGATGAGGACATTAATATGGAATCCATCAATCAGAGCTGTCAACACAAGTTCCTTTGACCAAAAGCCTTTGCTCTGGAATAAATTATCAAGGAAAGACAAGGGACTCTAGAATATCAAAAGAAGGTGGTTTTTTGAAGACCATCAGGAATCAGAGCACTGGTTTGTTTCAGACAACCAGAGAAGAACAATTAAACTCTCCTTCCCTCAAGAATGCCCAGATGTGGGACTTCCCTAGTGGTCCACTGGTTAAGAATCCGCCTGCCAGTGCATGGGACATGGGTTTGATCCCTGGTCTGAGAAGATTCCACAAGCCGAGGGGCAACAAAGCCTTGTGCGCCACAACTACTGAATCTATGTGCCCGAGAGCCTATGCTCCTCAACAAGAGAAGCCACAATGAGAAACCCATACACTGCCACTAGAGAGTAGCCCCCTGCCCCTGAAACTAGAGAGCACACACACAGCAATGAAGACCCAGCCCTGCCAAAAGTGTTAAGAAAAGAATGAGCAGATGTGGACTCACAGGCAAACACAATAGGTTCTATTTTCTCATGACATCATGATTTCTGATTCAAAGAAATGATACAATGTGAAAAACTCAAATAAAATCAGTTCAGACAATATAAAAGAGCAAAAAAGTAAAAAAGGAAGAGACATTACTTTGTCAACAAAGGTCCGTCTAGTCAAAGCTATGGTTTTTCCAGTGGTCATGTGTGGATGTGAGAGTTGGACTATAAGGAAAGCTGAGCGCCAAAGAATTGATGCTTCTGAACTGTGGTGTTGGAGAAGACTCTTGAGAGTCCCTTGGACTGCAAGGAGATCCAACCAGTCCATCCTAAAGGAGCTCAGTCCTGGGTGTTCATTGGAAGGACCGATGCTGAAGCTGAAACTCCAATACCTCGGCCACTTCATGCGAAGAGCTGACTCATTAGAAAAGACCCTAATGCTGGGAAAGATTGAGGCCAGGAGGAGAAGGGGACGACAGAGGATGAGATGGTTGGATGGCATCACCAACTCAATGGACATGAGTTTGGGTGGACTCCGGGAGTTCATGATGGACAGGGAGGCCTGGCGTGCTACAGTCCACAGGGTTGCAAAGAGTCAGACACGACTGAGTGACTGAACTGAACTGAAAAATTCAAGTAAGGATATATAGGGCCGGAGAGAGAAGCGTAAGGAGATGGCTATGGAAAGGCAGAGGCAGGCAGGTACCCAGAGGAAACCCATGGAAGGATGAGCGGGCTCTGAGTTCTCACATCCAAAGACCTCCTTCCTTTGCCACCATTTTTAGGTGTCACAAATGGCAACCCACTCCAGTACTTTGCCTGGAAAATTCCATGGATGCAGGAGCCTGGTAGGCTACAGTCCATGGGGTCGCAAAGAGTCGGACACAAATGAGCAACTTCGCTTTCACTTCGATGAAATACTGTTCCTAAAGCCACATGGGCTGGAAATGGCAGATTTCATTCACCTGTCCAACTACTCATCATCCATTCATTCAACAGATATTTAGGAGTGTCTGTCATATGCTAGGATTTACCTTTAATGACTATGTTCAGAAACTGTTCATCCAGAAGTCTCCTGTTGTTTGTTCAAAGGCTTTTCTCCTGTATCCTCCCTCACACTTTGATAACTGAGTCATCAAATTTGAACAAAAGGAACAAACTCATAGCGATATTTAAACTTTATCAGGAAAGCCTTCCAAAGAGGGAAAAGTAAAATAAACTCTGGTCATTCCCATCCCTCCAGTGAAGTAATTTTTATCACAAGACTCTTAATTATTGGGCTTACCAGGTGGCGCTAGTGGTAAAGAACACGCCTCCCAGTGCAGGAGACATAAAAGACACAGGCTTGATCTGTGAGTCACAAAGATCCCCTGGAGGAGGAAGTGGCAACCCACGCCGGTATTCTTAACTGGAGAGTCCCATAGACAGAGGAGCCTAGTGGGCTACAGTCCATAGGGTTGCAAAAAGTTGGACACAACTGAAGTGACACAAGTGAAGTGACTCATTATTATTATGTTCACAATACCATAACGCTTGGGTATCTTCAATCATACCATTTGATAGTTTGAATATACCTTCTCTAAGCCAGCAGTTCTCCACAGGGGCAATTTTGGCAGTGTCAGGAGACATTTTTGTTCCTCACAACTAAAGGGACATTACTGACATCTAGTGGGTAGGGGCCAGGATTGCTTCTAAACGTCCAATAGGGGCCTTCCCTCGTGGTCCAGTGGTTAAGACTTCAGCTTTCAGTGCAAGGGTGGTGGGTTCGATCCCTGGTCAGGGAACTAAGGTCCCACATGCCTCAGGGTCAACAAAACCAAAGCATAAAACAGAAGCAATATTGTAACAAATTCAACAAAGACTTTAAAAATGGCCCACATCAAAGAAATCTTAAATATGTAAATATATTTACATAAATAAATATATAGATATATATAAAGAGCCCAACAATACCCAGAACAGCCCTTGCCCCACAAGAAAGAATAAACTAACCCAAATCTCAGTAGTTGATACTGATCTGAGAAACTCTGTTCTAGACCTATTTCCACATTTCACGGATGATGAAATGGATGTCCAAGGAGGCCAAATGATTCATTATGAGGCTGATTAGTGCTATTTTAACTAGCATCACACAAAACATATTCTTTGTGCATTATTCTTCACTAGTTCTTCAAGAACCAAATTGCAAGCCATGATCAAATAAAAGGAATTTATATGCCTGCATGCTTAGTCACTAAAAATGACAGGCTTCAAATCCATACAATAGGGTTATTACTATGCCTATTTAGAAGTCACAAGGAATTTCTTATTAACAGCATGCTTTGTATTCATTTATGACAGCCACAGATTCCAAATATCCCTCCTTTGTGGGTATGTTCACTCAAGAGAAAGGAATCTAAAGAGAATGTCAACAGACACTCACAACACATGTGATGACAGGAAGGCCAAAGATTTCCTGAGTTCTGGAAACAAAGGCACAGTCCCAGGTCACCCTTGGGTATACCTGCTCTTCTCCTGAGATCATGATGTCTGATACAAAGAAATGATGGAGTATCAAAAGTTCTAACAAAATCAAAAGAAACAACAAATATAAAAGCAGTGGGAAAGGCCACAGTGGCACAAAAAAAGAAAGATGCTGACACAGTTAATCCTTTACACTGCATTGATAAAAAAAAAAATTATTTTTAAGAATAATACTGTCAGGCTTCCCTGGTAACTCAGAGGGTAAAGAATCTGCCTGCAATGTGGGAGACCTGGGTTTAATCCCTGGGTCAGGAAGATCCCCTGGAAAAGGGAATGGGAACCCACTCCAGTGTTCTTGCCTGGAGAATTCCATGGACAGAGGAACCTGGAAGGCTACAAATGGGTAGCAAAGAGTTGGACATGACTGAGCGACTAACATTTCCACTTTCTTTCTGCCAATACAGAAGACATGAAGTTGATTCCTGATCTGGGAAGATCCCACATGCCGTGGAGCAACTAAGTCCATGCACCACAACAATTGAGCCTGGGCTCTAGAGCCCGGGAGACGCAACCACTGAGCCCCTACCAGCAATTATTGAAGCCCATGCTCCTCAACAAGAGAAGCTACAGCAATGAGAAGCCCACACACCACAACTAGAGAGTAGCCCCTGATCAGCACAACTAGAGAAAGCTCGTGCATAGCAATGAAGATCCAGGACAGTCATAAATAAATTAATTACTTTTAAAAAAGAAATAATAATAATGTCTTATATTACTATAACTTATGCTCCAGAAGACATACTGGATTATAATAATAGCGCAAGTGTTGAAATCTGAGTCATACCAAGCAACCTCTTATTAGCTGAGCTGAGCCTGTCCTGGGACAACACAATGCACTAGCACTGTAGTATCCACACTCACCCTTGAGCAAAGGGACGGTACCACCTTTCCGGTAAACAAAAAAACATCTCCAACAAGTCAGCCTTGCAAGCAAGAGGCTCATGTTAATTCAAGGTCCATGTAAGTGTTCTTTCCATGCCAGGAACAAGGACTCACTAACAAATGCCTTATAACTGCATGGTTCAAGCTGGAAACCTGAGTCACACATTACACGTTACTATAAAAATCATGGAATAATAGAAATAGAGAGATGGGAGGAGTTTCTGAGGTTAACTAAGATAATGACTAATTTCAAAGCCTAGGAAACTATAAGAGGTATAATCACATGCCCTCCCATCATTGAAGCTGTCAGAAAACTAGTCACAGGGAGACCAAAACGAACAAAAAACAGGAAAGAAGAGCAAGCTTGCTGCCTCATCTTCTTTGAATCAACTGCTTAAGGATCGATGTGTATTTACAGTAATANTACTTTGGCTATTCGAGGTTTTTTGTATTTCCATACAAATTGTGAAATTATTTGTTCTAGTTCTGTGAAAAATACTGTTGGTAGTTTGATAGGGATTGCATTGAATCTATAGATTACTTTGGGTAGTATAGCCATTTTGACAATATTGATTCTTCCAATCCATGAACAGAGGCAGAAGGTTTTAAAAAGAGGTGGCAAGAGTACACAGAAGAACTATACAAAAAAAAGATCTTTATGACCCAGA